CCCTTGTAGGGAAATTGCGGTCTTATTTTTAAACACTCCGGTCGTCGGAACTTGTCCTTGGAAACTATTGAAAGATAAATTCAATTGTTCGAGTTGTAGCAAATCAAGGAAACTCGGGATTGTCCCGGACAAATTATTTCGTGAAAGATCCAAATTTGCTAATCCCATCAATGAACTTAGGACTTGAGGTATGTGTCCTTCAAGTAAATTGCCCTCGAGGTGAAGTTCTTCCAAGCTAACGCACTTTCCTAAAGAGTCGGGAATAAGTCCAGACAATCTATTGTTTGAGAAATCTAATCTCGCTAGATTTTTCAAAGACCCAACTTCAACTGGAATCGAACCCGTGAATGCATTGTAAGATAGATACAATGAAATAGAAATGGTGGAAATAAGAATCTCCGGAGGTATCGGGCCATTGAAGTTGTTTTCGGAAAGATCTACTTGTAGCATGTTAGTGCAGTTACCAAGACTCTTAGGGATCGCCCCCGAAAAATTGTTTCCGGGCAAGTTTAATTTATTAATCAAACTCAAGTTTCCAAACAAAGATGGTAACTCACCGGTAAATCTATTTTCCGCCAAGTTTAGAATATTCAGATTAAAAAGTTTCCCAATGCCCGGAGGAATCGAACCCTCAAGGTAACTATTTGAAAGATGCAAGAAAGTGAGACCGACAAGGTTCTCGATACCCGATGGAATATTTCCACGTACTTGAGTACCCCCAATTGCCAAGTACTCAAGATAAACCGAGAGATTTCCGATGCTTTCGGGAATCGTACCTTTAATTAATGGGCTGGAAAGATCAAGAACTTGTAGTTGCGTGCAGTTAGTGAGTGATGAAATGAAACTGATATCATCTTCAATTAAGGTTTCGGCGGCATATAAGGTAATAAGCTGCGGAAGGCCTTCAAACATCGGCATGGGACCATTGAAACGGTTGAACGATAACACGATGGTTTCAAGTAAAGACGCATTCGAGAGGGAAATCGGAAGACTCCCACTAAATTTATTCATCCCCAAACTCAGAAACCTCAAATTAGGTAGAGTGAGGCCTATATTAGAGGGTATTGAACCATGAAGGCTATTAAAATCAACAATAAAATACTCAATAGTAGATATATTGAAGAGACTCGGAGGAATGGTGCCCGTGAGATTGTTTTCTCCCAAACTAAGAAACCTTAGTCTCCGAAGTTGGGCCAAAGATTCCGGAATTTCTCCATTAAAGTCACAAGACCTTAAATTAAGTTGTCTTAGAGATGTTAGGTTTCCAATAAATTGAGGGATTAGTCCTGAAATTTTGTTGTTGGCCAACCCTAGATCGCTTAGTTTCTCCAAAAAACGAAGCTCCGGAGGTATGGACCCCGAGAGATTGTTGTCATTCAAGTTCATGTAAATTAGATTTCTACATTGGGAAATATTTTTAGGTATTGTTCCTAGGAAAGAATTTTTGCTAAACTCTAGATACTCGACTCGTCTTAAAAGACCGATTTCCTGAGGAATTCGGCCGTTGAAGTTATTGTTTTGGATATCGATTAGTCTAAGGAATGAGAGATTACCTACATGAGATGAGAGTGAACCAATCAAGCGTTGAGAATCCAACTTTATGGCAACAACTCGGTTCGGGTGCTTACGACCGCATGTGATTCCGTTCCACGTGCAGAAGTTTGTAGTTTGATTCCACGAGTTTAGAGCTCCGTTTGGATCGACATCAACGGCTTCTTTGAAGGCCAATAATGAAAATAAATCTGTTTGGTTGCTTCTGGAACATGTTGCTGGACTGTATAGGGCAAGAGAAAAAAAGATTAAGAAAGAAAAAATATTGATGGATTTTGCCATTGTTTCTTGAAAGGTGGTGATGCTTGTTTCTTGATTTTGGTTGGGTATATATATATATATATATATATATATATATATATATATATATATATATATATATATATCAGTGCATGCACCAATGCATATGGAAATTCCAAGTCAACACCAAAGTCTACGCATTAATTAACATTTAATAAGTACACATCTAAATCAACAAAGACGTTGACTTCAAGACAGAAGTGTCTTTCTCACTTTCTTTTTTATTTTTTTCAAGTACTTTGTTATACAAATAAGGATACACATCATGAAACGGTCTAAACTTTGCATATTTTTTGCGGATTACCACCTCAACAAAAAAGAAGTCCCCGGTCCCACATGAACTCAATAAGTTATGCCGGAATCAGAGGCACGTGCATTGCTCATCCAATTCCTCTTGTTTCCCTCAATTTCTCTCTTCTTCTTCAATTCCCCCGATTCGCTTTAGTTAACTGAACCAAATATTTGCTGTGTAGATATCTTGGTCTCTCTCCAACAAAGCTAGGTCTGTTTTCTTTCGATTTTCATGTATGCTACTGACAAACTCTGGAGCTTCAAAATCGTATATACTTGTGTATCATGGCCCCATTTGGTTGGTAAGATAAGATTAATTGGTCAAGATAAAATTAAATAATTTAATGAAATCGAATTATTGGAGCTTGCAACGCCCAACAAAAAAGCGCTCATTAGAATGTAAGATAAGCCACGATTATATAATTTTGGCGGGTCGACCCCGCATGCAATTCATTGGGAATACCAAACATCAAATTAAATCCAACTATTTAGTTAATCATGATTTGTCTTGGCAACCAAACGGGGCCTATGTGTATAGGTGCAAATATATATTAGGGTTAATAGCATTTCGCCACCTGAACTTTGCTCGTTTTTGCACTTTGCCACCTTAACTAAAAAAAGTTGCACGAGCACATTCAAACATTCATTTTTTACGCACATAACCACCTCGGGCGAGTATTCTGGCGGATCTTCTTATTTTCTGGCGCAAGCGCGTTGCACATGATTAATATAAGGGTTTTTTAGTCTTTTCTCTCTTTCTTTCTCCTTCTCTCTCTTTGTCTCTCTCCCTCACACTCACACACATTTGGACATTTAATCTCCAATAATTGAATCGTGCTACTGATGAAATTTAGTTTGATGCTTTTTGCAATTTCCTTTGAACTATAATTATCTCCTCATATTAGTTTATCTCTAATAAGTTGACTTGAAAAACATCGTTAACAATTTTTTATTTTAATTCCTTATCTTAGTCAAAAATTTCTGTTTTTTAAGATTAATTCTCTGTTTCTCCAAATATTACTCAAAAAAAAAAAATCATCATGAGCAAGAATTTATTCACATTTCTCATCACAAAGGTAATGATTCATCTGTTTCTTTACTCCTTAAATAATAAGCCCAACAAGAAGAAGTTGATAGAAATCGGTATTACATTTGAAGCCTTGCACTTGAAATATTTTTAAATGGTGGCTGTGAGATTCGAACTCATGACCTTTCATTTGGCCTAGCTCTAATACCATGTTAAATGACCATCTCAACCAAAAGCTTAAGCTGTTAGTGAAATGTATCATTTAATATTAATATCTCCAATATGCGTCAAAAATGTTGCATGTTTAGGTATGCCCGTGTAACTTTTTTTAGTTAAGGTGACAAAGTGCAAAAACGATCAAAGTTCTGGTGGCAAAATGCTATCTACCCTATATATTAATTAATTGTGTGTTTGTCGGAAAAAAATAAAATGGAAATAGGCTTAATCCAAAAGAGGCTGGGCAGTAAATGGCCACCAATTATGAAGCCTCCAATTCAGAGTATTATAATGGAATCACTCTCATCAATGGCCACCATCGCCTTCATCATCATCTCCTAAAGCTTACTTTGCCTTTGTCCTGAGTATTTTTTTGTTTTCCTTTTATTTTTTGGGCAAATGATAGATACATCAACCACATGATAAGAAGAATAGGAAGAAGAAGAATAAGATACAGGGGAGAATAAGAGAAGAATTGCAGAAATTGAGAGAAATACAGGGAAGTATAGGTTGAATTAGAGGAATTAGGGTTTGTGATTTGAAAAGACAAAAAAGCCCCTGCAAATCGAATGTGCAATGCGCTTGCCTCTAATTCAGACGATTTTGGCCTGAAAATGAGTACAAAAGGATAACGTGGCACAAATTATTGAGTTCAGGCGGGATCGGTTCTTTTTTTTTTTTTTTTTTTTTTTTTTGTTGAGGTTGTAATCCGCAAAAAGGGACAAAGTTTAGGTGATTAAATGTTGTCTACCCTACAAATAATGAGTTATGGATATACGAATTCAATGGCTGTAAATTCATGTATCATTTTTCCGACTTCTTCTTCTCGTTTTGAAATTACCATGTCCTGAAATGAGTTGTACCCTGCTTTTTTGTTATTTTTATGGGAATTGTATATCCTGTTTTGATAACCAAGTAAATAGCATTTATCTTTTATTGAAATATTTACTTGCCATTCAAAACACCCTTGCTGCCTTTCATGCATGGTTCGCCGGAACGGCTGAAACGGCCGGAGCGGAACGGGAATGGTGCCCTCTGTTCTGAAATTCGTAACCTGAACGGTTTTTTCACCGTGATTCACTGAAACGCCGAGAAAATGGTGGGATGGGCGAGACAAAGCCACGGAACGCCCGTGACGCGGTCGGAACGGCCGGAACAGGAGAAAAGAATTTGAAAAAAAAGAAGAAAAAACTAACTAATTTGACTAAAAAATAAAGGAAAAAAAAACATAAAAGAAAAAAAAGGAAATAATAAGATAGTGGTGGCCACGTTGGAGAATGGAGATTCCCTTGAATCACGGATGTTTGGCTTCACTTTTCAAGTTACACAATTCCACTATGCAATCTACGTGGTATTAATATTGCTTGTATTTTCATAATGTTCTTCAAAGATTGTTGTAATATTTATTTTGGAAATTGTAATAATATTTTGCATATTATTGTGTTGTAATATTGTTATGAAAACATAATTGAAATATATTGTATTTTTTAGCAATTTAATTAAAATGTGTCCGTTTCGACCACGACGCAGCCACAACATTGCAACGTAACTGGAACGGCAGTGTCCACCGTTCCCGCGACAATGCACTCTTCCGTTTTGGCAAAGCATGCTTTCATGTTCTCCGTGTTGTGAGGAGAAAACAAGTAAAGCTACTAAATATATTTAGTCAAACATTGAAACTCAAAGAAATTAAATTACAAATTTTATAATCAAACTTGAAACTTTTACAATATGAAGTAATAATTAAAAAAAAAAAAAACACAAGAAAAAGGAATCCCAGCTCTGTTCTTCGACTAGCTAGATAGTTCTTTTTTAATCTTATGCAATTCCTTAACAACATCTTTCATGGACATCCTATCGCTCGGCAATTCTTTCGAACACGACAACCCGATTCTCATAATAGAAGACACACATTTCTCGATCTTACTATTATTCTCGTGCGAGCCTTTTCCAATGTGAGGATCCACAATTTCCATTATACGATCAGGAAACGCCGCATTAACGAAATTGTGGAGATTGACATGTTCGTTAAACGAATCATCGGTTGGTCTTTTATTCGTGAACATCTCCAAAACAAGAATACCGTAGCTATACACATCCCCTTTAGTCGAGATCGAGTTACTCATGCCATACTCTGCACGTAGATTCAAGATAATTAATTATTCGATATAAAGCTTGTAGAAACAGAGTTTATTGAAGATGAGAAACAATTAATAATGAAGTCATATATACCTGGTGGAACGTAACCGAAGGTACCCTTGATTCCGATTGTGTTACTGCTTTCTTGTGTTGGAAGTATGCTTGAAATAATTTTGGCTAGACCGAAATCACCGACACAAGCCACCATATCTTGATCCAAAAGAACATTACTCGGCTTCAGATCGCCGTGAACAATTGTTGACTCTGTACCCGAATGGAGATATTCGAGCGCTTGAGCAACATCGAAGGCAATGTTGAGCCTCTCAACCATGTCCAGGTTTCTAAGCTGTGCGTCCGATTCTTGTTCTTGTTCACGGTTGTAGTACAACCATTTATCTAAACTCCCGTTAGTTTTGAACTCGTAGACGATCGCTTTGAAGTCGTTTCCTTGGAAGTCTATGCTTTCACAAACACTCAATATTTTCGCGAGATTTCTGTGTCTTATGTCTCTTAGCGCATTGCACTCCGCCATGAAGCTCTTAGATGCCCCTCGCACGACAAGATTTAGCACTTTAACGGCGATAGTTTTCATCCCGTCGTCGAGAATGCCTTTGTAGACAGATCCAAAACTTCCAACACCGACTAGGCTAGTTTCGGCGAATCCTCCCGTTGCTTTAAGTAGATCGGCATATGAAAGCCTCAAGAAAGGAATTCCATTCAACGATGGTGGAGAAGATGTATTTTTTTTCGTTGTTCTTCTCTTGTAGAGAAAAACGATGAGGCACAGTAGTGCTGCAACTCCAGCTATTGGGATCACGATTTTTACGAGAGTGGGTAAGATCTTCTTCATCGTGGAAACCGATGATGAAGTGCAAGGACGAAGGTCCAACTCAAGAATTCCTCCACACAATTCATTGTTCCCTTGCAGGGAAATTGCAGTCTTATTTTTAAACACTCCGGTCGTCGGCACTTGTCCTTGGAAGCTATTGAAAGATAAATTCAATTGTTGGAGTTGTAGCAAATCAAGGAAACTCGGGATTGTCCCGGACAAATTATTTTGTGAAAGATCCAAATTTGTTAAGCCCATCAAAGAACTTAGGCCTTGAGGTATGTGTCCTTCAAGTAAATTGCCCTCGAGGTGAAGTTGTTCCAAGCTAACGCACTTTCCTAAATTGTCGGGAATAAGTCCCGACAATCTATTGTTGGAGAAATCCAAGTTTGCCACGGATGTCAAAGATCCAACTTCAACCGGAATCGGACCCGTGAGTGCATTGTAAGATAGATTCAATGAAATAGAAATGGTGGAAATAAGAATCTCTCGAGGTACGGTGCCGTTGAAGTTGTTTCTTGAAAGATCTAACTCTAGCATGTTTGTGCAGTTACCGAGACTCTTAGGAATAGCACTAGAAAAGTTGTTTCTCGTTAAATATAATTTAGTAATCAAACTCAAGTTTCCGAATAAAGACGGTAACTCACCCGTAAATCTATTTTCCGCCAAGTTTAGAATATTCAGATTGATAAGTTTTCCGATGCTCGAAGGAATCGAACCCTCGAGAGAATTGCTCGAAAGATCCAAGGAAGTGAGGCCGACAAGGTTTCCGATACCCGACGGAATTTTTCCACGTACTTGAGTACCTCTAATCCCTAAATAAGAAAGGCTAACAGAGAGATTTCCGACGCTTTCTGGGATTGTACCACTAATTAATGGGTTATTCGTCAGATCAAGAACTCGTAGTTGGGTGCAGTTAGTGAGTGATGAAATGAAACCGATATCATCTTCAATCGAGGTATTCGCGGCGAATAATGAATTGAGCCGCGAAAGACCTCCAAGATTCGGCATTGGCCCACTAAAATCGTTGTACGATAACACGATTGCTTCGAGTGAAGTAGCGTTCGATATTGAAATCGGAACCCTCCCACTAAATAGATTCTTCCCTAGACTTAGTAACCTTAGATTAGGGAGAGTTAAGCCTATATTAGAGGGAATAATTCCATGAAGATTATTAAAATCAAGTCCAATATTTTCCATAGTAGATATATTGAACAAACCTAAAGGAATGGTGCCTGTGAGATTATTGTCACCCAAATTAAGAAGTCTTAGTCTCACAAGTTGGGAAAGGGATTCCGGAATTTCTCCGCTGAAATCGCAAGACCTTAAAGAAAGTCGTACGAGAGATGTTAAGTTTCCAATATATTGTGGGATAGGCCCGGAAATTTTATTCTCACCCAAGCCTAGAGCTTCTAGTTTCTCCAAAAAACGAAGCTCAGGAGGTATGGGCCCGGAGAGATTGTTGTCGATCAAGTTAATGTAAACTAGATTTTTCCACTGGGTAATATTTTCGGGCATTATTCTTCCAGTGAAAGAGTTGTTGCTAAATTCTATAAACTCGAGTCGTTTTAAAAGGCCGAATTCTCGAGGAATTCGGCCGCTGAAACTATTGTTTTGGAGATTGATTTCCCTAAGGAATGAGAGGTTACCTATATGAGGTGAGAGTGATCCCATCAAGCCTTGAGAATTCAAGTTTATTGCGACGACTCGATTCGCATGCTTTTGACCGCATACGATTCCGTTCCACGTGCAGAAGTTTGTCGTTCGATTCCACGAGTTTAGAGCGCCGTTTGGATCGGCATTTATGGCTTCTTTCAAGGCCAACAATGAAAGTAAATCTGTTTGGTTTGTTGAGCATTTTGTTGGAGTTAGTATGGATGAATAAGAGAAGATGAAAAAAGAAAGAATTATAATGGAATTTTTCATAGTATATGTTTTTGGATTGATATATCTTTCAAGTTTGTTGATTAATTGTCTAACTTATATATATTAATATTTTATTGATGGTACGGAAATTCCCCTAAGAGTTGAAATTTGAAAATTGATTTTTTTTTTTTTCATGACATGTCATTTTCATGACAGATAAGTGTTGAAATGAAGCCGAAATTGTTGACTGGGCATTAGTTGTATGATGTGATATTTGTCTTTGTTTTGAGATTATTTTCTCTTGGCTAAGACTCCTTGGTGGAATTGTTGACTTACCGACTTGTTGTGGCAAACGAGTTGTGCAGGCCGGCAAACTCGACAAGTTGGCTCGACAAAAGCCCGAACTAAAGTTTGGATTCTTCGAGTTCGAGCTCGAACTCAATTATAGTTTTTTATTTGTTTTTAGTTACCCATCTTTTAAAGGTATTTTGCAATCTTAGGGGATGTTTGTTTCTATTTCCAAAATGGATTTCCAGTTTTATACTATTCATAAAACCGAGATCATGTTTGTTTGATAATTTTATCCAGAAAATCCCATTTTTCATTCTCAAATTTCTATTGGAAATTCACTATTCATACTTTTTTCAATTTTCAAACATACTCAAACCTACTAACCAATCTATATATTTTATTCCACCAACTCATATCTCTCTCCTTCTATCCATCACTCATTAATATTTACACTCTCTCTCCTCAAATTTCTCTCTCCTCATTAATATCTACACTCTCTCTCCTCCCAATTTCTCTTTCTTCTTCTTCTTCTTCTAATAATAATTATTATTATTGTTGTTATTATTATTATTATTATTTGGTGCAAATAATAATAATAATAATAATAATAATAATAATAATATTGTTATTAAAAATAATATTCATTGTAGAAGTAATAATAATAATAATGGTAATAGTAATAATAATACAATAAATAATAAAATAATAATACTTATAATAATATAAGAATATAAACAATAATAATTATAATAATAAAAAAAATAATAATTATAATAATAATAATAATCATCATCACTATCATCATCCTCAATCATTATATTCTACTTTTTCACGTACTTTCGTAGATAAAATTCACCACAACCAAACATATTCTCATTTCTATACCTACATAAAACGAAACATACTCATTCATCCAAACATATTCTCATTTTCTACACAAAAACCAATAAACTACTTTTTCCATCAGAAATTTTGAAAACTAGAAATTCCTTTTGGAAACATAACCAAACATCCCCTTATACTTTTCAAATTACATGAACCATTATTATAAAGTATAACTAAACTCTTACTATTTCAGCATTTGTAGACTGCTTTATATTTTCAAGTCGTCGCTGCAAATAAATGAAAAACGTTGATTAATTTTGACCGTTATTACAACACAATGGTTTCAAATTTCAATACTTTGTAATGTAATGCAGTGATGAACATACGCTTGATCATTACAACACAATTTTGACCATTACAATATAATGATTAATTTTACCGTTAATCCGTTAAGTATGGCAGTGATGAACACACGCTTGATCCCATCAGTGCTGATAGAAATTGACGTAAAGGATTAAAAGTGTTTTATTTTTAAATATGAGGGACTAAATGTTTTTTTTTGTGAATGTGAGGACCAAATGGAAAATCGATGGAAACTTGAGGGTTATAAACTGTATTTTTCAGATGAAAAATTATATACTCTCTCCGTTCGTAAATATGTGTCATTTTTTACCTTGGCACAAATCTTAAGGATCTCAATAAATATGTCTTGATTTCGGGAAAATAGATATTGATGGACCAAAATACCCTTGTTTGTTAATTAATGCAGGAAGAGTGCTACAGAGTTAATAAGGGTAAAATTCAAAAATTAGTAATTAATGCAGCATTGAAATTGTAAGCTGACAGATAATATGGAACAAAAAAATTCTCAAAAGAGACAAATATTATAGCATAGAGGGAGTAATTAATACAATGTTGGAGTAATATATATGTTCTTTTACGGGAAAATTACAATTTTCGCATCAAGTTTGCAGTAATTATACATTTGATCCCTCATGTTCACAGAAAATACATTTGGTCCCTAATGTTTCCAAAATTTAACAGTTTGAGTCATTTTCGTCAATTTTCCATTAGTACTAATGGAATCATGTGTATGCCCGTCACTTCTTTATCTGACGGACTAACAGTAAATTGACGGAAATAACTAAAAATATTAAAATTTTCAAACATGAGGGACCAAATGTGTTTTTTTAACATGAGTGAGTGACCAAATGTGAAATTAATGCAAACTTGAGTGATGGAAACTGTAATTTTTCTATTCTCTTTTACAGTTAAAAGGAAAAGACCACCAATGAAAGTAAATCGGTTTTGTTATTGCTTGAGAAGACCAACAAAGAAAAGACGATGGTTGACTTAATTTATATTTTGGCATATTGTCTACGCGTTAATAAATAACAACAAAGTGTTTTGGAATTTTGCCTTATTTTTTTCAACACTTGGTTGATTGTGTGTGACATATCTTAATGAGTAAAGACCATTTATTTGACTTAGGCTTTCAATCTTTCCCACTTCGTTTTCCCATAAAATATGCTGGTCTTGTGACTCTCAAAAAAAGAAGGGCAAATTACCAAAACCCCCTGAGGTAAGTCTGAATAACGGAAATTCCCCCCACGTTCTTGTGATTACGAAAAACCCCCTGAGGTATGCAGACATCTTACAAATTGCTCTAACGATGTTAAACTCGATAGAATCTTTTTGATTCTCCCGAATATTCCTCCGATAATACCAATTTTGCCCCTGCACACGAAATTACCCTTAGGGGGGTAATTGTAAACATTTTATTTGAAATATATAAGTGTCTGCAAAATACTTATTTTTCTTAAATTAAACCCAAATATAATCAATCATTATAAATGTACAATGTATATTTATTGGATTAAAAAAATCAATGGATGAGATTTCAAAATTTAATTATTTTTTATATATAAAATTAAATATTTTACAATACGAAAAATACAACCATCATTCAAGCTAAAAGCATAAATCTGTATGAATACTCCTCTGGATAAATAAAATCAATTAAAATATATAAACTACTCAGGGTAATATAGTAACAAAACCAAAAAAAAAATAAAAAAAAAATTGAATGTATATTAAACGGAATAACTGATTGTAATCCCACAATTGATAAATGTAGGGTGAAAATTACATCTTCAGAAAAGCTTCTATGCATTCTAAGAATCGAAGCTCTTTTTTTTTTTTTTTTTTTTTTTGAATTTACTCAAAAAAAAAAAAAAGAAATCCTGAATCAGTTACTAGATTTGAAATAACAGGAAAAAAGAAAAAAAAAAAAAAAAAAAAAAAAAAGAACCCTGGTAGTATCAATCGAGAATTAGAAGAGGAATAAGCTGAAGAGAGGAATTATTTGAAGAGATTGTTGATGGGTTTGACTTTTACGCATGGCCAAGGCACACCCAATTGTTTTGAGTGCACCTGCTCCTAATTCAGAGATATTGAAATGCTATTTATAGTGTAATTTTTACCACCTTGCAGTGCATTTTTCTTTTATTTTCACATATTTAACAGAAGGATATAATAGACATTTCACGTTTTTTGTTAAAAAAATTCGGTCAACCGTTAGTTAAGGGGGGTTTTCGTAATTACGAGAACGTGGGGGGGATTTTCGTTATTTAGGCTTACCTCAGGGGGGTTTAGGTAATTTGCCCAAAAAAGAAAAAAAGAACAATTTAAATTAAGGGTAAATAACATTTAACCCCTTGTGGTTACAAACTTTTGCAGATAACCCCTTCGTGCTCGTAATATCTGCAAATAAACCCCTTCTGGTTTATGGGATAGCTTTCGTTAGTTTTTGCATCAAACTTCAAGGGGGTTATCTGCAAAAATGAAAGGGAAAATGAAAGTACAAGGGGGTTATCTGCAAAAATATTAATTTGACGTTTGACACTGGCGGTTAAGTTTGACGGAAAAACTAACGGAAGCTACCTTATCAATCACAAGAGGGTTATGTGATGATATTAAAAACATAAGGGGGTCGTCTGTAAAAACTTGTAACCACAGGGGGTTAAGTGCTATTTACTCTTAAATTAATCCTTTTTCTTTATTTTTTTTTTCCTTTTTAGTCCCCTTGTCAAAAACATTATAAAATTAGTAGAGAGATAATATTTAAGAAAAGAAAACATCAATAATCAAAGAATTAACGTGGGATCAAATAAGTTAACATTTCAAAACAGAAATATTAAACTGCAATTTTTTTACTTTTGTAAAATTTCAGATGAATGAAATGAAAATAAACTTTTAAAGATTATAAAAAATCTGAAACATTTTATTTAAAAAATAATTCCATGATTTATTTTTATTCTAAAGAAATGAGGTTTATATTGATCTTAGATTTTATTTTTGTTATTCAAATGAGAACAATAAAGATCCGTAAGCTAGCATACAAAAAATCCAATACAAAAGATTCGGTAAAATCATGTATTTGGTCCTAAAATAAATCTGATTGTCAATTCATGAGAACTGTTTAACAATTATTGTCAATTTGTTTCAATAGATATGTCTAGGTAAAAATAGGATAGAAAAAATAATGAAAAATACAACAATGTACCACTTGAATTTACTATATTTCTACATTTGGAGCGTTCTTTAAGTCCTCTCTGTAGCAGTTGTATAATATGAACGTCGCAACCTCTTGTAGAGATCTGAACTTCTTGGAGACATTTTCATGGACGTAGAACTGAAATATAAAATATTTTTTTATGAGTTTATTCAAAATGATATAATTATGTAAGAAAATATTGCGCTATGAAATAACAAAAGCAATGCCCATTAAAATATAACAAGTAATGAAAAATAACTAAGTATAATACCTTATCTCTTCTCTCTGAATTATTATGTTTTCTTTGTTCCACAGTCCATCTCCCTAACCGCTCCCGCAAAAATAGTTGACTTCGTGGTCGAACGTGAAGAGGATTCACAATGTGCACATTGGCGGAAATAGTAATGTCCTTTGTATCAGAAAGAACCTTCACTTGCACCTCCTTTTCACGCACAACCAACTGATATGCAGAACTGTTGGCACTCTCG